GTCGGGCAACCAGTGGTGGAGTGAGTGAATCACCAAATCCTGGGCACTAGTGATACGTCTTAAACACACACACACACACACATTTTTTTATTTCATATTGCTATATTATTACTTTTGAACACCTTTTACATTAATTTTTTTTTGAACTAACCTATTAATTCAAAGCTCAGAGTCAGTTGTCATTTTGTGCATGTTTTTGACTTTTCAGAAAATAAATGTCTAAGAAGGTCAAAAATACCTGGAGATTTAATACAAATTTTCTTCACGACACAAGGAGTTCAAAAAGTACCGGAGCCAAACGAGAGGGCAGCCAGGGCTCCCACGCGGCCAGGGACTGACTTACGCCACTAGGCCGCGTGGGCCCCTTGTGCACCACCTTACGTCTATTCCACGACCTATAAATTGAATAAATCAAGAAACCCCGGTACCGATTTTCTCTTATTTTTTTCCACCGTTGTAAGTTCCTGTTTTGAGGAGATCCGATCTGGAGGTCTATTCTGGCACCTGTCAGAGGAGGATCCATCTCTGGAGACTTCTTCAATACAAAGTTCCTGTGAGCTGCCTCATATGATCAAGATCTATCTGATGTAATCGGTGGTGTGTTTGTTGGGATATGATGAATTGTCACTTTATGAGCAAATTGTTCATTGAAATGAATTAAATATTTTGAAGTTTCTTTGCTTTATAATTGAATAAATTCGTATGCTCACTTGTATATTTGTCGTTTTTGGTCAAGTTTGATGGGTAATTCTTCAGAGGGAGTCGTGCATTGTAGTGGGTTCTAATCTTGAGGTGATCTATATCCCAATGATAGAAAGAGAAAAGACTCATATTGTATTGTTGCCACTAAGTATAAACTGATGGTTATGCAATGCTTTGTTTATCATGAACTTAATACTTCAAGATGCATGCTAAATAGTGGTCTTGAGGTGAAGTATTAGTTGTAGATGCAGTTGTATAACGGTCTACATATCACAGACGTAACGTCTGTATGAGATTATACCATGAATAATCATAATCTTATCCCTAAAAAATGAATGACCATAGTTATAAATATAAATATTATGATTCAATCGCTGCGCAACCGTAATTTTTCCACCAACTACACTTGTATGCTTATGAGAGATGCCACTAATGAACCTATTGCCCCCCTGTGTCTATTCTCTATTACCAAAAAACTCATCAAAATTACTATTTTTTGTTGTACCATTTGTTTTGTTTTATCTTCCAATCAATTCCTATCATATTGCGCAATTTAATCTTGTAACTAGCAAGACAAGAAGCTTGATAACCTTCTTGACGTATTGGGGACAAGTTTGTGTTGTGTTTTGTGTGCAAGTACCAGTGGCTTTGTAACTAGAAGAACTCATTCTGGTTCGATAACTTTGTTTTCCACTAAGTGTAATACTTATTGCTAAGTTAAATTCACCATTATACTTGGGAGTTATGCAACCGCTCTTAGGAGAGAGCAAACAACTATTTAATTGGGTATATAAAGAACTATGGTATCTCATATTTGAATGAATCTTCATGTGCAATATACAAACTAATATCTTATACGTGCTAATATTTATTGATTGTGGATGTAAAAACTTACGATACAATGTGATGTGTTGATGCTTTTAGTTGGAGCAATGATGGAGACGAGGTATCGTCCGTCCGGTGGAACAAGCAGAGGCACGCCCATTCGTCGCAGAGAACAACAAAGCAAGTAGCTGGAGATCTATCAACCCCATGTTACTATAAGGCCTTCACAAGCTGCGTTGGCCTGCTATGGCCATATGTCACATCAGAGATGAGCCAGCGTTTGTGATGACATTGTGCATCGTCGATTGACTCATGCTTAAGAGGTTGTTCTTGAGCCTTGTGTCATTGTCCGTGTGGGATGGCGAGAGTGCCCTGGACTCGACAACTTACGAATGTTGCTCTGATGGCGAGAGTGGTGGTGCGGTGAGCACATGCATCGGTGTCGGGGCACGTAGTGCTCAATGGTGTCATCGGTGATGAGGTGTGATTGCGGATTGTCTCGAGGCATTGTGCTGGATCAAGTGTTGATCGGCTTATAGATACAGTGGCTTCGTATGGTGCGACAACCTTGTCGCCTGGCGCCGGTTGTGTGGTCCTGTGGTCTGGCGGTGGTTGGGCTCCATGGGCGCGCATCAGTGATGGTGATATGGCTGTTGTGCTCCAGCTTTGGCAATGTCGGCTCAGGGACTGACGAGCCTGGGCAGGGCTCTCTCCGGGGAGGTGGTAGTCGGCGATGACGTGGTCCACCATCGTTGTTGATTCTTGATGAACACTCCGCCTTGCGGCGCCGACCTTGCTGTGGATTGCAGTGGCCACCGAGAGGTCTCCGTGAAGGTTTCTCTTACCGGATTTGGTGGTTGCCTTCGGCGGTGAGATGCAAGTTGTGGAATGCGGCTTGATGCAGAGGGATTGTTGTGCAGCGGCGGTGGTCACACGTCGCATGTAGCTATTGGATCACTGAAAAATGATGGTGACAATCCATGGGTGGCTTCAATGGTGTTGCTACTCGAGCATCCGGCCTCGAGCTTCAGTGTGAAAGTCTAGGTCTGACACGAGTTGGTTATATTGGGCAATCGTGATGTTTCTTCGTTGTTGCCTTGTGGAAGGCATTACTTGGAGATGCTCGCGTTGGTTCTTCAGGGCGAAAACCTAATATCCGCCCTTGGGTGGTTGGATCCAATGACAACATTGCTTGAGCATCACTCCATTCTTAAAGATGTTGTCGTTGAAGAACCTCGTAGTCGTCCATATGGTGTCATGAGATGATTGAAACATGTATGGTCATTTTCGTAGTTTGCTGATCACAAATCTGTTCGCTTTCTTTCTTTTCCTTTTTCCTTGCATAGCTTTGGTCTTGGTATTCGCTTTGTACATCCTAACTATTTAAGGGACAGGTGTTTGTATCTTCTTGATACATTATTTTGAAGTAATTAAATCCATCTTTGGTCGGAAAAAAATAATTATAACCAGGATCTACGCCATTTTGTCTTATCAGGGGCGTCAAATTAGCAAATACGGTCCCGTGCTTTATGAGGGGCAGATGCGTGGGGTCACAAAGGTAATGTCCTGACAATGCACCAACCATATCTGCAAGGCAGTAATGTCCATTGTGATAGTATCATTGATTAACGTAATGTGTGATAGTATCATTGATTAACGTAATGATTAACATAGGGATTTGTCATTGGAGATAGGGGAGAAAGGGGCTCAGTCCCCGTGAAATTCAAGGAAAAGCGAAGGGTTAGTTAGGAAGTTTATGTAAACCGTTCGTAGTAGATGTAGATTTTCGTCTAGTAGGAGACAAATCAATTACCGTGCTAGCTTGCCGAGTGCTAGACCACAAATAATTGGTGTGGCGCTTTGTTTGGCCAACAAACTCAAGGACGACCTAGTATTTTTTAATCTTTTTTGAAACCTGGTTCCTTATGGTCCATTTCATTAAAAAAAAATATCAAAGAGAGTAGTCTAGTTAATTAACGGAAAACCAGACAAAAATCATCACAACACGCCTGTAAAAGCAAGCTCTAAAGGGCAACCTCGCAACCCACACAAAAACACACAGACGCCGTTGAGGAAAAAAGCGTCGTCGAGATTGCAAACCGATGTCATCGTCATCACACCTTTGTTAGGGCGACTCCGATTGCACCCTCAACAACAACCGATGTAGCCCCTACCGCACGCTGAGGCCTGCGTCGGCCGATGCCAAACAGTCCACCGCACGCGCTGACGACCAGGCAGCTCCGACTCCAATGAGCATTGCAGGGAAAAAGCGCCGGCCTGGGCCAAGCTGGCACCGGAACCGACCACCTATCTTGTGTCATTGTCACCTCCTCTGCAGCTCTGACCGACTCTGCCTGAAGCCGCCATCGTTGCCACACAGGAGGACGACCTAGTATTGCGAATGTCACGTGTATTTTGCTTACTGATGTGAGCAATCAAGCTAAACTAAAATTGCATTTTGATATCTTACTTCTGGGAATGCCTGGCGCCACTGTGAATGGCACAATCTTGACAGACGATCAAACGGGAGAGATCACGCACGCACGCCTCCGGTTGTCATTCACTCTTTCAACGGCTTCACTGTCAAGAGCACACACTACACAGTGAGGCCGGGCCATAACCGATCGACATCTCGTGCGTGCGTGCTGTTGCATCGATCGTGTATAAATAGGCAGGAAAGCCCGTGCTTTGCTCCGACTCACTCACAGCTAGCTACCATTCCAGCTAGATACACTATGGGGGTGAGAGTAGCCAGTGGCAAGGCTCCGGTGCTACTAGTTGCAGTGTTCATCATCTGCGCCGGCGGCGGCATGGTTATCTCGCCGGCGGCGGCATGGTTATCTCGCCGGCGGCCGCGGAGGAGGTGCACCTGGTACCGGCGGTGTACGTGTTCGGCGACTCGACGGTTGACGTGGGCAACCTCAAGTACCTGCCGGGGAACTTCACACCGCCGTTTCCTTACGGCATCGACTTCCCGCTGGCGAACTCCTCCAGTCCCAACGGAAGGTTCAGCAACGGGTACAACCTGGCCGACTGCATCTGTACGTACGCGCAGGCTCTTCTTCATCGTGTTTTTAAGTTTGATGAACCCATGAAACTAACAGAAATGTGCAAACTGAAATGCAGCGAGGCTGTTGGGTTTCGATATGAGCCCGCCGGCGTACCTGTCGCTGACGCCGGAGACGAGCGGTCAGATCCTGAAAGGCTTCGGTGGCGCCAACTACGCCGCCGGTGGATCCGGCATTCTCGACACCACCGTCAGTGCTGCCGCTTCGTTACGCCTCCTTTCGTTCCAAAGACATCTTAGCCAGTTAGAGTTGCTTTAATTTTTTAGATCCGATTTATATTCACATTGATCTATCTTTTTCCAACAAATAATTTGCATTAGTTTGTCTATCTATGTCTGAGTAGCAGTAACTTTTACTAACATCGTTTCTTGTGTGCATCGATTGATTTATCAGGGGAATGCCTCCCTCCCGCTGAGCAAGCAGGTGGAGTTCTTCGCGGCCACCAAGTCGAAGATGATGGAGAACAGCGGCGACAACGGCACCCAAGCCATCGACGCGCTGCTATCCAGGTCCCTCTTCCTCATTAGCGACGGTGGCAACGATATGTTTGACTTCTTCCTGAAGAAACGGTCGTACCGGGAGGTTCCGGCCTTCTACGAGGACCTTCTGTCCAACTACACCAAGTTTGTGAAGACGCTGTACGGGCTCGGGGCGCGGCGTTTCGGTGTCATCAACGTGGCGCCCATCGGCTGCGCGCCGGCGGGGCGGGCGAAATACCTGTTCGGTGTGTGGGACTGCGAACATATTTCCAATAAACTCGCCAGGGACTTCGACAGCGCCTTGGGCGACGCGATGGCGAAACTCGCCGCGTCGCTGCCCGGGATGAAGTATACTCCGTGGGGAGCCCCTATCAGCTGGTGGAATACTACACCGCGCACCCGGAGGCCGCCGGGTTCAAGGTTGTGAACAGCGCGTGCTGCGGCGGCGGGAAGCTCAACGCGGAGACCTTCTGCGGATTGCCCAATACCACCTACTGCGCCCACCGCGACGAGCACATGTTCTGGGACGAGATGCACGGCACCCAGGCCACCTGGATCAAGGGCGCCGCGGACATCTACGACGCGCCGGTGGAGCGAGGATTCGCCGCGCCCATCAATTTCAAGCAGCTGCTTCTTGACGACGAACACGCAGTGTCAGCTGCTAATTTGCTTGTGAGTGTGTGAGTGTCTCAAGCCTGTTGCTGTTCTATGTTAGCAGTTCTGTCGTGTTCATTTTATCCTTGTTTCTGCGTCGAGCACAGCAGATGTGTTGCATGTGCTCAATTAGTAGTCTGGCCGTTTGGTTTCTCGCAAAATAAGGAACCTGACACGTACTTTGTTTGCGTGGAGGTGCGTCGTATAAGTGGGCTGGATTGTTACAATCTCTTCTTCTTGGGCTAATTTGGATTGTCAGAGCTTCTACAATTACGATGGGCTAATTTGGCCTTCTATATGACCACGGACATGTCCGGTCAGGTGAGAGGGAAACACACCGTCAATGGTGATTTCGTTGCGGACATGTTCAATTTGAAGATGCGGCTGCGAACGAATCCAAACTTTCAGAGTCGGTGCTTCCCTGACGGACTCCACGGCTGCAGAAAGATGGTACATTAAAGATAACATCAGCAGGATGAGAGGGAAACACACCGTCAATGGTGATTTCGTTATGAATATGACAAAGCGACTGTAATAGCACCCCTAAGCAAGTCCACATCACTCTACTGGCCTAGCCACGAAGGGACCCAAGGTAGGCAAGAAGATTCGCTTCCAACTTAGGGTTCCCGTCCACCCTAGCCGTGTCTCGAACAGTGCACCAGGCAAAAAGAGGGAGGTGACAATGGAAGAACACATGGTTAGCATCCTCCGACGCGTCGCAAACAGAAGAATTACCATCAAATGGGCCATTGTGTCTGACTGATGAAGCTATGTACCTAGGGTAGGGTCATGGATCTGTCCAACATACCCTTCCCAAGGACATCTCTACAAAGAATCAGAAGCAGTCGAAGAGAAACCATCATCCACTCGACCATGAAGATGTGCTCACTCGACCACCTTGAAGACACTCGACCACCAGAAGATGAGAAATCCTCCACTCTGCAACGGTCAGGACTTAAACCATAGCTTTATAGGCATTTACAACACTTTATTGCAGACGTTACAAGTAATGCCCCTCCTTTATGAGCATTGAACCTTGTGTAATGGAGGGGAGCTGGGGTCCTGGCGCACTTTATATAAGCCACCCCCTCCTCTGGGACAAGGGTTCGCACTTTCTGTAATTCACACACATATATTCAGTCGACCGCCCCTGGGCTCTGAGACGTAGGGCTGTTACTTCCTCCGAGAAGGGCCTGAACTCGTAAACTCGTGTGTACAACTCCTCCATAGCTAGGATCTTGCCTCTACATTCCTACCCCCCTATTCTACTGTCAGTCTTAGAACCACGACAGTTGGGGCCCACCTTGGGGCCGGTGTCTTAGCGACTTGTTAGAGAAGTTGCAATTTTTCCGATCCCCTTCATCATGGTTCCAGGCGGAGGTTTGGCTGAGGGCCGCGAGATCCGACTCGGTGCGCTCGTGTTTGTCGCCGACGACTCCGCTTGGCTTCAGGAGGCACCACTCGACGCCGACGCGCTCCCCGCCCGCGGGGCGACACACTTTCGCGCGTGCGTCCGCGACGTCCTCCTGCGGCAACCGTCGATCCAGTACCAGTCGACTCCAGTAGCTTTCCCCCTCCCTGCGACCCGCCGGAGCAAACACACCGGTCGGTCGAGGCTTCAGCGGTGGGTGAAGCATGCGGTGGCCTGCCAGTCGGCCACCCCTCAAGTTGCGGCGATCGAGCCCGACGAAACTCTCTACGGCCTGTTTGATCTGTCGACTGGCTCCATAGAGACCGCATCCGAGTGCGACAGCAGCGACCCGGCGGCAGAAGTTTTGATGGTCAATGGACCATGCAGCCCTCCTGGCTTCAACCGCGAAGACGGAGGCGATGGGAACAGCGATCCGTCGCGCGTTCACGAGGAGTACCGCCCCGAACCCCTTTCCTCGCAGCAGAGGGAGGAACTTCGCCGCCGGAACATGGATGCATTGCATACTCCTATAGTTGGAGAAACCCCTGAGGCCCAGGCCTTGGAGCAGGCGCGCTTGGCCAACCTGGCTGAACGCACTCGACTGGAGAACCTCCAGCGCGCACTCGATGATCGCGCTCGACAACGTGTTCCTGAGTCCAGTCGACGCCATCTTTTTCCACCTTCGACTCAGGTATACCAAACACCGATCCAAAATCTAGTAGTTGCTGCCCGGATAGCAGAGTCGATCCAACCTTCCCAATCAGAAGCTGGCCGAGGTCTGGTGCAGATCAGAGCCTTGCTCCGGGCAGCGGGAGAGCAGAATACGGTCGTGTCTCAGTCGCGGAATAGGATCCATAGCAGATTTGTGGTCGCAGACACAGTTCAGTCGACCCATAGCCCGAGATCGCCCCCGAGGCGTGAGGGACGTGGAGATCAGCGTGATCAGTACAGAAACAGAGAGCACTATGATCGCCGTGCCGACCGCGATGATCACCATCGAGTGCCCGACGTCTCCTCCAAGGAGTGGGTCATTCGTGCCTCGGCCACATGAAGACAGACGCCCTCACAGTGTCGGAAGAGGTATTCCAGTCGACCCAGGGAGCCAGGCTTTGATGCGAGATCTATTCTCGTGCAGGGCTTGGTCGACAGAAACAGAGCTCACCGAGAAGGCCATGACAGAAACAGAGCTCACCGAGAAACCAGCAACATGGTGCATGTCTCTGGTCTAGAGTGCTTCAGCAGAGCTATCAGAGCTGCGGTGATTCCATCCAACTTCAGGTTGGCGTCTGGAGTTAGTAAGTTCACCGGAGAGTCCAAGCCTGACACTTGGCTTGAAGACTACCGAGTGGCTGTCTAGATTGGTGGCGGCAATGATGAAGTGGCCATGAAACACCTTCCTCTGATGTTGGAGGGCTCGGCTAGAGCATGGCTGAATCAGTTAGCGCCTGGCATCATCTATACTTGGGAAGATCTCGCCTGAGTGTTTGTCAGAACATTCGAGGGCACTTGCAAACGACCGGCAGGTTTGACAGAATTACAGTGTTGTGTTCAGAAACCGAATAAAACTTTGAGGGATTATATCCAGAGATGGATCACCCTACACCACACGGTAGAAGATGTGTCAGATCATCAGGCAATTTGTGCCTTTAAGGAAGGCGTTAGGTATCGGGAGTTGAATATGAAATTCAGCCAGACAGGAAATATGACTCTGGCTCGGATGATGGAAATTGCCACCAAGTATGCCAATGGTGAGGAAGAAGAGCGACTCCGGAGTGGCAAGCACAAAGCAGTCGCCCACGAAGCCGGAGGAGGAAACTCTGGTCGGAAACAGAAGCGCAAGGCCGAGCCAGCTGCTCCGGGTGAAGCCTTGGCTGTGGTTCAAGGAAAGTTCAAGGGGAAGCCCAAAGGGCCGTGGACCCCAAGAAAGTAAAAGACCAAGACGGAAATGACGTGTTGGATCTGCCGTGCCATATCCACACCAAGAAAGATGAAGAAGGTAATTTCATTTACCCGAAGCACACCACTCGGCAATGTCGGCTCCTAATCCAGCAGTTCTGAGAGAAACAGCCCAAGGAAAAGGAGAAGGAGGCAGACAAGGCTGAGGATGAGGGAGAGGATGATGATGATTATCCCCACGTGAATTCCACTCTGATGATTTTTGCTGACGTTGAGAGCAAAAGTCGATTGAAAGTCATCAACATGGAAGTGAACATGGTCGCTCTGATGACACCTAGTTACTTGAAGTGGTCGCAGACTGCCATTACATTCGACCAGTCTGATCATCCAGCGCACATCGCCACCCCTGGGAGGCAAGCACTGGTGGTCGACCCGGTGGTCGAAGGCACTCGACTGACAAAGGTCCTGATGGACGGTGGCAGTGGCCTAAACATATTGTATGCAGAAACGTTGAAGGGAATGCAGCGAAAGCCATATGAGTTTCCATGGGGTCATTCCAGGCAAGAAGGCTGCATCCCTCGGTCAGATTGCACTCGACGTGGTTTTCGGTGATTCCAAAAATTACCGTAAAGAAAAGTTGACGTTTGAAGTTGTGGATTTCCAGAGTGCTTATCATGCAATTCTAGGCAGGCCAGCTTATGCACGATTTATGGCTCAACCATGCTACATGTACCTCAAACTGAAGATGCCTGGTCCCAGAGGAGTGATCACTATCTCTGGTAACCGGAAGAAGGCAGAAGAATGCTTCCAGAAGGGCTCAAAGATCGCCGATGCCCAGATGGCCATGGTAGAATTGCAAGAATACCAGAAAAATGCAGATCCGAGTGACTTGCTGCGAGCCAAGAAGCCAGCCACAGATTCAGCATTCCAGTCGTCTGGTGAAACGAAGTCGATTCACATTCACCCGACGGATCCCAATGCAACTCCGACTCACATTTCAACCACACTGTACTCCAAAAGGAAGAAGCGCTCATCCAGTTCCTCCGTGAGAACTGGGACATCTTTGCATGGAAGCCTTCTGACATGCCGGGTGTTCCCAGGGGACTGGCTGAGCATCGTTTGCGAGTCGACCCGAAGGTGAAACCAGTCAAAGAGCATCTTCGACGGTCCGCCGTCCAGAAAAGAAAAGTAATCGGTGAAGAGGTGGCTCGGCTTTTAGCAGCTGAGTTTATCCAAGAGATTTATCACTCCGAGTGGTTAGCCAATGTTGTCATGGTCCCAAAGAAAGACAACTCCGAGTGGTTAGCCAATGTTGTCATGGTCCCAAAGAAAGACGACTCACTTCGCATGTGTATTGATTTCAAGCATATCAATCGGGCCTGCCCGAAAGATCACTTCCCTCTCCCTCGCATCGATCAGATAGTCGACTCGACTGCAGGGTGCGAGCGTTTGTCCTTTTTGGACGC